TCTGAGATCTTAATATTAATCTTCTGGATTTCTATTTTCAGGTTTTCTTTTGTTTCAAAATTTGCATTTATTTTGACTTTTTTTCTTGTACTGTTTCCTTAAATTCTTCTGAAGTGTTTTCTGTGTTCTCCTTGCTTTCCTTGATCTTTTTGTCAATTCATTGACGGTACCTAAATAGTTCTTTACCTTTTCTTCTTCAGAAATGTTTTCTGGCTCAGCATCTTGGGCATTTGTTTGAGCCACTCTCTCAATGGGTGTGATCAGAGAATAGAAATGTGTGCACCATTTTCTCTTCACAGTTGTAGAGCTCAGTTGAGGGTGGAGTTGGCTGATGTTGGCTGATGTCTATTGTGGATCAGGTGGCATAGGAGTTGGTATTGGCTCTTGTCCAGTTGGTGGAGTTTTTCTGTCACCCATGTTAATCTGTGTCATCAGGCTGCTGTCTGTTTCTCCAAAGCTGCTTGAAAAAGTTCAAGATGGTCTTGCTACATCTGACTGGCAGTCCTTTTACCAGTCAGTTTTCTTTCACTGTTCCTGCTCAGCTTCTCCTCCTAGTAGTTATTCAATCCACTTCTCTAACCTTGCCTCTGAAGCTTAAGGCTCCAGGATTGCCCTCTGTGTCTGTTTTTTAGGTCTTCCATATCTTTGTTGTAGAGGGTCTCTGTAGCATATCTGCCTAGTCTGCCACGTTGCCAGAAGTCTCATTTCCTTGTATCTTTGATTTTCTTCACCCTTCTTTACAATGTATGGGGAGAGACCAATAGTTGCATCTTAGATGGCTGCTTGCTAGCTTTTAAGACCCCAGTCGATATTCACCACAATAGGATGTAGAATATTGCCTTTGTAAACACTGTCTTATGCCAGTTGACCTGGATGCCCTCTGAGATTGTGGTTCTAAGTCCATCAAGATATTTGGGTATGACTAATACATTTCCCCACCACTTGTCTGTCAGTTTGTTGTACTATAGTGACTTGTGTGTTGTGATGCACCAACTATTTCTTCAAAACCCTATGTAGGGTTTGGAACTGACTAGACTATACTTAACAACAACAAGAGTCACCCATGGTGGGCAGATTTCAGGGTAGCTTCCAGACTAAAATAGACGAGGCAGAAGGAAAGGCAGATCATTTCTGAATGGTTAGTCACTGAAAATCTTATGGATAGCAGCAGAACATTGTCAGATATAGTGCTGGGAGATGAGCCCTTTTGGGGAAGACACTCAAAATATGCCTGGGAATGAGGTGCCTCCTCAAAGTAGAGTTGACTGTATGACATGAATGGAGCAAAGATTTCGAGAACTTTGTTGCTGATGGGCACAACACAAAATGAGAAGAAACAGCTGAACACATTCATTAATAATCAGACTATAGAATGTACTTCAAGGTCAACAGTTCAAGCCCACCAACTGCTCCTTGGAAACTCTATACAAGGTCGCTGTGAGTTGGAACCAACTCGACTGCACTTAACAACAACAACAACAACAACATGGACAAAATACTGAATGATTCTAAAAGCATCAAAGGAAGATGGAAGAAGTAATTAGAGTCATTGTACCAAAGAGAAATGGTCAATATTCAACTATTTCATGAAGTAGCATATGATTAAGGATTGATGGTATTGAAGGAAGAAGTCCAAGGCATTGGTAAAAATCAAGTTTCCAGGCACTGGCAGAAAACAAACAAAATCTTTCAACAAACTGATGCAGCACTAGAGGTGCTCAGTTATTTATGCCAAGACATTTGGAAGACAGCTACCTGGCCAACTGATTGGAAGAGATCCATATTTGTGCTCATTCCATAGAGAGGTAATTCAACAGAATGTGGAAATCATCAAACAATATCATTAATATCACATGCAAATAAAATTTTGCTGAAAATAATAAAAAATACACACAATTGGAACAGCACAATGACGGGGCGAGGGGGTGGGGTGGGAGGCTGCCAGAAATATAAGCCAAGTTCAGATGATGATGTGGAACTAGGGAATATCATTGCTGATGTTAGATGGATCTTGGCTGAAAGCAAAGAAAACCAGAAAGATGTTTACTTGTGCTTTATGGACTATGCAAAGGCTCTTGATTGTATGGATCATGACAAACTATGGACAACATTGAGAAGACTGGGAATTCCAGTATACTTCGTGCTTATGAGGAACCTGTACATGGACCAAAAGGCAGTTATTAGAACAGAACAAGGGGACACTGAATGGTTTAAAATTAGGAAAGGTGTGCACCAGGGTGGTATTCTTTCACCATACTTATTCAATCTTTATGCTGAGCAAGTAATTTGAGAAGTTAGATTTTATGAAGAAGAACATTTCACTCAGATTGGAGGAAGACTCATTAACAACCTGTGATATGCAGATGATGTAAACCTGCTTGCTGAAAGTGAAGCAGACTTAAAATACTTACTGATGAAGATCAAAGACTGCAGCCTTTAGTATGGATCCTCACTACTGGGCCAATAAAATCACATCATGATAAATGAAGAAAAGATTGACGTTGTCAAAGACTTCATATTGCTTAGATCCACAATCAACATTCATGGAAGCAGCAGTCAGGAGATCAAATGGCATATTATATTAGGAAAATCTTCTGCAAAAGACTTCTTTAAATTGTTAAAGAGCAAAGATGTCAGTTTGAGGACTAAGGTGAGGCTGACCCAAGTCTTGGTATTTTCAGTAGCCTCATATGCATGTGAAAGTTGGACAAAAAATAGGAAGATGCTAGAAAAAATTGATGCATTTGAATTATGGTGTTATAGAAAAATATTAAAAGTACTATGAACTGCCAGAAGAACAAACAAATCTGTTTTGGAAGAAGTACTGCCAGAACGCTCCTTGTGTGGTGGGTGGTTATGTGCTGTGTAGTCAACTCCAACTCATAGTGACCATGTATAGGATTTCCAAGGCTGTAAATCTTTACAGAAGCAGAAAGCCTCATCATTCTCCTGTGGAGCTGCTGGTAGTTTCAAACTGCAGATCTTGAGATTAGCAGCCTGACTCATAACCACTATACTACCAGAGCTTCTTAGAACGCTCCTTAGAAGTAAGGATGTCGAGACTTTGTTTCTCATACTTTGGACATGTTATCAGGTGGGACCAGTCCCTGGAGAAGGACATCATGGGTCAGCAAAAAAGAGGAAGAAGCCCAATGAGATGGATTGGCACAACAATGGGCTCAAACATAACAAATGTGAGAATGGTACGGGATCAGGTAGTGTTTTGTTTTGTTGTGCATAGGGTTGCTATGAGTAGGAATTAGCTTGATGTCACTTAACAACAACAAATTTTTATAACTTTGCTCCTATTTGTTCTACCACATTCATATGTGTATGTTATTGTTGTTAAGTGCCATAGAGTTGGCTCTGACCCATAGCAACCCTGCATAGGGCTTCTGAGGAGTAGTTGGTGAGCTTGAATTGCCAACCTTAGGGTTCAAACCAACTTTGCAGTCCAGTGCATTAACCTACAGCGCCACAACAGAACTCCTATGCATATGCAGCTCATACAAAAACATATGCAGAAATATCTTCTGCCAAACATATGTACAGAGTCCTGGTGTGTCACTGTAGGATAAGCACTGGACTGTTAACTGCAAGGTCAGTGGTTCACATCTGCTAGTCGCTCCTCAGAAACCCTATACAGGGTCGCTATGAGTTGAAACCAACTTGACAGCACTTCACAACAACAATAACAACAACAGTACTCCATTGTGTGTATGTACCATAGTTTATTGATCCATTCATCTGATAATGGCTCTTAGGTTGTTCCCATCTTTTTGCTATTGTGAGTAATGCTGCAATGAATGAACAAAGATGTGCATGTTTATTTTGTCACAGCTGTAATTTCTCTAGCATACATACCTATTCATGAGATTGCTTTATTATATAGTATTCCAACTTCCAACTTTGAAAGAAGTGCCATACCATTTTTCACAGTGGTTACACCAGTTTACAACCCCACCAGCAGTATATGAAGGTTCCAATCTCCCCACATCCTTGCTAATATTTGTTGATTTCTGTTTTTTTTTTTTTTTGTTTTGTTTTTTAACTTTGCTGTTAATACCAGGGTGAGCTAATATATCATTGTCGTTTTGATTACTTGGAAAGGTTTTAACATTGCACGGATCATATCTGT